GGGGCGGGGGGGGGAGGACCCAACCCCCCCCACACACACACTGTGCCCCGGGGGAGAGGGGGGGAGCCTGAGACTTGAGCCCCCCCACACCCCACCCTGAAACCCCCCCACCCCACACACACACCATGCCCCGTGGGGGCAGAGACCTGAATCCCCCCACCATACCCCAGGGGGGGTCAGAGAGCCGAACCCCCACAAACACAGCGTCCCGGGGGGCGGGTGGGGCAGAGACCCAACCCCCCACACACACTCCCGAAACCCAACCCCCCCACACACCATGCCCTGTGGGGGCAGAGACCCGAACCCCCCCACACACACCGTACCCCGGGGGGGGTCAGAGACCCGAACCCCCGACCCCCCGAAACCCGAACCCCCCCCACCGTGCCCCGGGGGGAACCTGAGACCTGACTCCCCCGCACCTCGCCCGGGGCGGGGGGGGGGCGCAGAGACCCGAAGCCCCGCGGGCAGCCGGGCTGGGAGGGACCCAGGCGTCCGGGCGGGCCTTCGGCCAAAACGGCTACCCGGGCTTCCTGCCGTGGGGCCTCCCCCGAGCCCTGCCCCGCCGGACGCTGCCCGCCCCGCCCGGGGGCCCCGCTCACTCACTCACCGGGGGGACAACAGGGACCCTCGGCGGCGGAGACAGCGACCCAGGCCCGCTCGGAGAGGTTCGGGCTCCGCTCGGCTTCGTTCGGGAATCTTCGTCTCCGCTCGGAGAGGCTCGGGCTCCGCTCGGCTCCGTTCGGGAATCTTCGTCTCCGCTCGGAGAGGCTCGGGCTCCGCTCGGCTCCGTTCGGGAATCATCGGCTCCGCCCGGAGATGCTCGGGCTCCGTTCGGGAATGTTCGGGCCCGCTCGGCCGGGTTCGGGCCCCGCCATTCGGCCCCGCTCGGGAATGTTCGGGCGCCGCTCGGCCGGGTTCGCATTCCCATCTCCGCTACCCCCCGGCGGCCGAGCCGGTTGGGCTTCGGGCCGGTTTCCTCCCGAGTCCGAGTCCGAGTCCGAGTCCCGCCTTCCGGTGCCCGTCGAGCTCGCGCGGGGTGAGGCCGGCAGGTCAGCGCCCGGCGGGGGGTGTTTGCAGACGGACAGGTGGGGGGGCGGCAGGCAGCGCTTGGGGCGGTTGCAGACGGACACACAGACAGGGACCGGGGGGGGGGAGGTTTGCAGACAGACGGACGGACAGACAGGTACGGAGAGAGGGAGGGTGCAGGCGGACAGACAGACAGGTACGGGGGGGGGTT